GGAGCGCCCGCATCGCCAGGCGAACAGATACAGTCGAATTCAAGTATGTCACCAGAACTGCTGCGCGTACAGTTCGTCGATCCCTTCGGATATTCAGCGAAGAGGGTGCAGTACGTCGGATCCTGGCACAAGTCATTATCTAAGTTGTTGATAAATGCACACAGAGCAATTGATATGGATAAACAACTGGTGTTAAGCCTTGCTTTTTCCGTTTGCTGACCCATACAGTTGTATCTTCTTCTATTTTTGGTGAGTGCTTTTGACCATGATGCTGAGACCTCTGGTGGACATAGCCACCATCACTGCTGCGTCTCGGTGCAGCCCCTGCTCAATAGTTGTCACGTTCGTCCTAGTCTCAGTATAAGCTTCCTGTCTCCAAGAAAGTTATAATTTTCTTGGAGACAGGAAGCTTATCAGGGACAGAACAACTAAAACTCTCAACCTATCCTTCACCATCATCAGCAATAAGGACTCCGAAATTCATGAACCAGGGAGTGATAATTACATATCTCGCATATACCTCCCTAGGGTCAAAGATATACCCCACTCTGTTCAAAATATGCCCCGCACCGTTCACACGCTCCATTTGGGACAGCAGCATGGAAGAGTACTCGCACTCTGTATACTTCCAAATACATGTTTACCGTGTCCCTGGTATTTTTCCTCGTGCTAACACACTTTTAGTCTGAAGAAAATGTTGAACAGTCTCTGTTTGAATGACAGGTACACTGTAGCTCTCTGATTAGGGCATCGCTGGCCTCAAGCAAAGGTCTCTGGTCGCACGCATGACGTGTGTGGGAGGTGTGTGATTGCAAGAAAGCATAGTTGCCTGTTAGTGAGCAGACTTTAAATGTACAACAACAACAGTAACGACGACGACGACGACGACGACGACGACGACGACGACAACAACAACAACAACAACAACAACAACGTTTATCAAGACAGCTAAGTACACATAATACACCTTATGAGTGATCTTACACAGTTGGATGTTGGAAGAATATGAAGTGGGGAATGTCGCCGGTGGAGCACCCACGTAGCAATCCAGAAAAAAGGACGCCTGAACTGCCAGAAAGCGAGTATACAGGTTCTGGTTGATGTTCAAGACCATCGTCTCGTTATACTGGCCCCTAGGCTGGTAACTCAATGCAGAAGGTCGGCCTGCTGGGAACGTGAACTGCCAGGTGACGTCCTGGAGACCGGGACGACCGCTGCTGTCGACGCATGATAGCTCATACGAACCTCCACCAACAATGACGAGCGGTTTCGGAGTAACCCGCATGTCTGCGCATACAGCAGAGCATACAGCAGAAAGCAAGGGAGAAAAGAGTCAACGAAATAGAGGAAGATAGAAAGACAGACAGGCAGGTGAAGGGATGGACAGGTTGACGGACGGGCAAGCAGACAGTCAGAAAGACCAAGAGCCAGACGAGCAGAGAGACAAAGAGACAGACAGACAGACAGACAGACAAACAGACATACCGGTACATAAATACAGACAGACAGATATGGTATGTGTGTGTGTGTGTGTGTGTGTGTGTGTGTGTGTGTGTGTGTGTGTGTGTATGTGTGCCTGCAGACTATCGCCGAATCTGTCCTTCTCGACTCACAGTGCAGTTTCCGTAGGGGTCGTGGCTGTATGCATCATGGTCCATGTTGCTCGACAGTTGGTGGAGAAATCCATTGAGAATGATGTGCCACGCTACGCGCTGTTTGTTGACCTGAGGAAGGCATATGACTTGATCCTGAGGCCGGTGCTATGGGCCCTCCTGCAGAAGCTCGGCGTCCCGCCCACCATACTGAACATCATCAGTCACTGCATGAGTCCATGCAGGTGAAAGTGCGGGTGGTTGGCGACCTCACGTCCAACATCAACGTTAACAATGGCCTGTCGCAGGGCTGCACGCTGGCCCCTGTCCTGTTCAATTTGTACTTCTTGGCGGTACTTGACCACTGGCGTCTATGTGTCCGGATACAGTTGTCGAGCTGCGGTACAAAGCTGGGAGAAAGCTGGTTGGCGACCGAACTGCCAAGTCGCGTCTGCAGCATCTCACTGTAATGGGTTCGCAGTTTTCCGATGATTCTGCGCTGTACGCCACGTCCAAGGCATCCTTTGATCCGTGTGCGGAGACGTTTGTGGCCTGTGCTTCTGGTTGGGGACTAACCGTCAACTTGACAAAACCAAAGCTATATCAATCAATACTCCCACCGGTGAGCCCGTTAATCTCGGGAATGGAACCATCGATGCCGTTGACCAATTCACATATCTTGGGTCCGTGATTCACTGGGATGGCCTTTGTGCGCATGATGTGCAGTCACGGATTTCTAAGGCGTCTCGAGTGTTTGGTTGCTTGCGGGAATCTGTCTTCGGGAACCGCTCCTTGTCTCTCCAATGTCGACGTCGTGTCGACGTGGCCCTAGTTCTTACGGCGCTGTTGTATGGAGCAGAGACCTGGACGACCAGGGCTCCTAATCTGCGCCGTCTTAACGAATTCCACCATCAGTGCGTGCGGGCTATTGTCGGCATCTCGAGACATCAGAAATGGGATGATCGAGTCACTTCTTCAACATTGGCGAAGACCCTCGGAATTGATTCGGACATCGGCGATATCATCCGCGAACGTCGGCTCCGATGGCTCGGCCATATTGGCCTCATGGAGGATGACCGTCTTCCCAAATGTACCAAGTTTGGGGAGCTCTCTGCAACTCGACCTCAGCACGGCCCACGCAAGCGTTGGCGGGATATGGTTGTGGACGATTTCAACAGCCCTCATTCACCTGTCCCTGAGAAGGAATGGCTCGACATTGCCCAGAACCGCTCGGAGTGGAGGGAGGTCATCCACCGTCGTCCTCAGCCTTGTGATGTCTCCGCCGAACCAGAGTATCATTGTGCTTGCGGGAAGACGTGTCGCCGACCCGGCGATCTCAAAGCGCCACGAACCTTTCTGCCGGTTGCCGCCGAATTAGTCCTTTCGCTATCATTGCCTACGGCAATGGGCAAGTTCAAGTTCAAGTGTGTGTATGTGTGTGTGTATGTGTGTGTGTGTGTGTGTGTGTGACGACCAGGGCGGGTAATTATTTGTTGCCGTCACCGTCTTCTTGCGTCCTTTCCGCATCCTCCGCAGTGGCGTGGCGAGCCCTCGGATCGATCCCCAGCCTGAAACAATGCAGTGGCGTTCGGCAAAGCAAGTGGATTTCTGGATGAGAAAGGAAACAGGTCACACTCGCAGCAATTTATTTCTGGGCGGTGTATCGCTGGAAAAGAATTCGGGTGGACACACCCATTCCCATAGCGCTGCATATCACATCCGAACCAGTTCCGTTATTTTTACAACGTTTCGGCACTTGGCCATCGTCAGGTAATAACAATGAATACCGTGGAAGCCACACAAGAGCAGTATATACGCAGAGTGTAGCGCCAAAAAAGATGCGAATTATGTCACCTAGTATGCAGAAGGGGGGGGGACAGAGAGAGAGAAAAGGCGCAACTAGCACATCACGGAGGAGAAGCAGCAGAAGGTAGCGCGCATTGTGCTCTGTGAATGGCGTTACGCAGAGTGTAGCGCCAAAAATAAAATGATGTGAGTTATGTCACCTCTATACAGAGGGGGGGAAGAGAAGGTGCAACTGTGCATATCACAGAGAAGAAGAGCGCGCAGTTGTCCTCTAGGAAGTGAGGGTACATGCCAAATAATTATGGTGTTAATTCTAGCACAGGAGGGGAGCACGGAGCCCCATGAGTCAATGCACTATGAGGTTAAACTTAGGGACGCGACGAGGCATCAGGAACAGAATGGATTTGAGTGACCAGCTCATATTATAATTATTCAGTGATATTGAAGTAGCAGCATTGTTATTACCTGACGATGGCCAAGTGCCGAAACGTTGTAAAAATACCCCCCCCCCCCCCCCCCCCACCACCACCACCACCACGCAAGTTCTGATCTGCAAGCCTTCCTAGTTCCTTCGTCAGCTGGCCCAACTAGGTTGCACTCCACCATGGGTCAGCGCCAACCGCCAGTTTGCACCAGGTCCGGCAAGGGTTGCCTCGCGTTCCGGGGCACCCAGCTGTGGAACACCTTACCCAGCAATATACGTGCCATCTCCATGCTCCGCCAGTTCCGCGCCAGCATGATCCCGCACACCGTTAGTACCTAGAGTACCAAACGTCCTGTTTGATGATCAGCAGGCTTAGTTTCTCTCCACCTCTATCCGTATTACATCCCTCCCCATTTTCATTAATTACTGCTTTCTATCTGCATTCGCTACCTTTTCATTGGGAAGATCTGCCCGTTTGGTTTGCGAATTAAAATAAACACAACAACAACAACAACAACAACAACAACAACAACAACAACAACAACACCATGCTGGTGAGTTTCCCAACACACGTACAGCCGGTGGTAGCTTGTAGTAGACGTACGAACTAAAACAAGTAAGACAGAGTATTACCTGTCATTAGAAAATTAACTATAAAGGGAACGAGGTGCTGGCATGCTAAACTTATTACTTACCAACACACTGTTACAGTCAACTTCGCTAATAACGACTGCGGATATAACGACAATTCGCGAATAACGACAGAATTTCCATGCCCAGACCAAAGTCCCATCCCACTGGAATACATATAATTAGACTTCGGGTATAAGGACACTTCGCGAATAAGGACACCTTTTTGATGCCCCGGGGAGTGTCGTTATAAGCGAAGTTGACTGTACATGTACTTGCTAGTGGCGTTCCATTGTACTCACTACGAGCCTCATATTCTTGTAACGTTTTGATTCATCTCAAGAGAGTCTGCGTCATACGTCAAGTGTGCGTGTGTAAAGTGAGTCGTTACAATCATGTACGCTTGAGCCAGGTAGTTAGCACTCATGGAAGAATGTTTTGCTCGCGACCTTTTGTGTGGCTAGCCTTTACATGGGGTGAGTAGATCTACGAACATGAATAGTACTAGTACAGCTGTACTACTACATACTACAGTGCTGGCAACTGAAATCCGACCCCCCCCCTAGCGTCTCGTACGAATCGCTAACGCGGCTAGTGCACCGGTAGGGGGGGTCGGATTTCAGTTGCCTGCCCTGTACTAGTACTGTGTGAGTGCTAGTAGAGTGTATGGATGCCATTGGATGGACACAAAATGAAGCGTCTTTTGACTCTTTTCCAATCGACGCGTGCGATACTACAACTACTTAGTGCTAGTACTGCACTAGTACTCAGTACTAGTGCAGTACAAGCAGTACAAGTAGTGCAGTGGCTACTGGAGATCGGATATAACGAGCATAACGCAAGATGCATGTAGATCTACTGCAGTTCTACTTTTTTTTTTTCTACTACAGTTCTACTACACCTGCAACCTGGCAGGTCCCTGACACCGAAATTTTAGTTCACCTAAGCATTTGTGTACCTGGCCTGGCCGGCTACTTCATCATGTCACGCCAATGTGACGCCATCACACCGTTCATCTTCACTTGCACTGGCCGCAGTCGCTGGGTGAATTATTTTTGTTACTATAGAGTATAGTATAGAAGATGTTCACACGCCCGAAGCGTGCCAGTCAAGGAGGGAATTCTCACGAAATGTCAGAGCTAGAGAGACAGGCTACACGGGCCGTCAATCTACTGTATCTGCTGCTGAGACTGAGTGAAGTGTGTTGAGTGCGATGTCTCCGCTATGATACTGACCACAACAACAATGAGCCTGGAGCACTAAAAGTCTAAACGCGATCCGTTCGGGGAGCTGAGAGGACCTAGCACTTCCATGGAGCTTTCCGGAGATTGATGTGAATGCAGTGGAAATCATGAATACTGCCTAGTGGTGCTACATTCTACATGATTCAGTGTAGGTCTACTGTCTTTCGCTTCTCCTGAGCTGAGAACATGGTTAAGGTCGCCCTAGGCTAGAATCGCATGGCTGACCAATGCATTGTACACTGTATTGGCTTGAAGTGACATGTTCGGCTTTGGAAAATCCCAACGTACATTTTAATACAAAGATAACATGGCAATATCAATTGCGCACTCATAACAACAGCAAAAAATGAAGCAAGGTAAGCCCCATAACGTTTTCTTGTGACTTTCATCAGTGGAACGCCGTCACATAAAAATGTTATAACTAAAGCACATACGAAGTTGGTTCGTAAAACACACACTTACATTGTATGTACATGTAGCTAATATTAAATTTTTATTTTTTTTATTTTATTTTATTTCACCGTCCAATGGCAGAAGCCAATGCAAAGGAGGGGGCGTTAGCCAGCCATGGCAAGAGAAGAAAAAGAAAGAAAGAAGGAAAGAATAATTATTATGATAATCGGAAGAAAAGAATGCATGAGGGGGGTGAAATTTATCACTATGTTGACCATGGTGGAGAGCGGCGAGAAAAGCTAGCAAAAGAGGCGAGCGAGCCTACAACGTCGCATGACATTTAACATGGTCTATGAACTGTCTAATATTGGATATTATCTTCCTTTCCATGGGCAGCTTGAGCCAATACGAATATGCAGAAAAGATAGGAGATTTGGTAAACATAGTTGACAAAGCTCTGGGAAGTGCTATGCCATTGCGAGTGTCCCGTGCGAAAGTAAACCAATTATACTTGCTGAGATGGACCAGAACGCATTATGGTTTCAGGTTGAAATACTGCAGCCAGCAAGTCCAAAAAAGCGACGTTTGCACCTGTCCAATGTGTGAATAAGGTGTATGTGAGGAATGTAGTGGCAGATGAATGTGATACTGTGTGGATGAATGTAATAGTGCGTGTGTATTACTTAAAGAGTGTGAGTGATACAACGTTTTCTTCCTGTTGACATAGCACAGGGTCACGAGTACGACTATACACAGTTTCCAACACCTGCAATTGCTTGAAGAAACGTGCGCAACGAATAACACTAAACCAGGAATCGCAAACACCTTACGACATTCTGGACTGGACACCAAATGCATGTACACTGCAGACTTCCTCTTGTCAACATCAAACGCCTGCTCATCCTACTCTCATCCTCCATTCCAATGCCGCTGTCCATCCCATCGCCCTCGTCTTCGTCATCATCATTCTCCATCTCCTCGCGACACCGCTTCACTCTCCTTTTTATGTACATGTATGAGACTGCCACTACCTTTCTCACACACTATAATAATACCTACATGTAAATATAAATCGTTATCAAAGTCTATGTTCCTATTTAGAACTTCTGTACTTTGGAACTGTCTACCACCGAAGATGACCGCTGCAGACTCCCTGCAGGAATTTGAGAAGAGTTTACGTCTATATACACACGAATATGCCCATAGAACCACTGGTATTCCAACACCTCAGCAGTAATTGCACATCACACTTTCCTTTGACGTTTTACTGTCTCATTCCATCTGTCTGGCTAATTTATTCTATTCCCGACCCCCCCCCCCCCACCCCCGTTATGCTACCTATTCAATATCGCACAAGTGGAGAACCCCTCGATAGGCTACCTGCCTCTGGGTGCTATAATTCTACCGGAAACCATATTAGCGACATGTATATACATGTAT